GAGATTAAATATCACCTGCTAATTTTAAAACGGATCAGAGATCTAGCTGGAATTCAAACAGAAACTAGTATGACTGTAATTAACTCTGCCTTTGCTGTTAATCAGAATCTGTCATATTGACTATCTACTATTTCTCCACTAGAGTAATATATAAAAGTGGCTTAAATAAAAGATACTCATAATTCCCAGAGAATAATTTCCCAAGGATTCAAAAGCTTCAGATGAAAAAAAAATGAAGAAACTAAAATTGTACAAAAGTGTATATCAGTTGCAAGTTATCACTGCAACATACCAATTTTGTTTTCATATCAGAGAATAAATATTCTGAATTCCTTAGTGCTTATGCACTCTCAAGAACATCTTTGCTCCTTTTTTCTCTTTCCATTCCACAGGCCACAGTTTCAGAAACATGATTCTAGTTTATCCATTTGAATTTATGCAAGAGAGAAGACTCCCGCTTAACTAAAACAGGGCTGGACTTGAGCTTATGTGGGCTAAATTAATTGCCCCTTTGCCTACACTAGGTCTCATATTCTAGCTTTCTTCTCACCTTAAAACTATAATTTGCTAGCATAAGATATTAATTATCTTCATCATATCAACATCATACTGGTGAACGTGGGTTAACATTGTGTGACAAAACCAGTCAATGACATTGGTGGGTGTCACGTGCCTCCTTAACCACTTTACACTTTGGACTCCAACTCTTCATCTTCCACCCTCTCATGCCTACAGGGTCAGGTTTGGGAATCTCAGGGCAAAACAAAGTTTTTGTTCGCATTGCCCAGGTTCCTCTAACTCTTTACTTTTTACCTGGCTCCCTGGAATGGGTTGAGTGCTACACCTCCCCCATCCCCAAAATATACCCACTTGGAAACTGAATGTGACCGTACTTGTAAAAAGGGCCTTTTCTGATGTAACTTAGTTCATGATCACAAGAGAGCACCTGAATTAGTGTGGATCCAATGACAAGTGTCCCTGTAAGAGAAGGCGTAGACAGGAGGGCAAAGACAGACACAGAGAAAACCATGTGAAGAGGAAGGCAGAAAGTGAAATCATTCTACCACAGAGCCACAAGAAGATGAAAGGGGCAGGAAGGATTCTCTCCTAGAGCCTTCGGAGAGAGAATGGGTCTGTGGACAGCCCCCTTTCAGACTTCTGATCTCCACGTCTCTGAGAAAATGAATTTTTGTTGTTGTAGGCCACCCAAATTGTGGTGATTTCCTACAACAGCTGGAGGAAACTGGTATACTTCCTGAGCCTCATTTTGACTAGAAGTAGCAGGTGTGAATTTTCCTATGCCTTCATCCTTTCTTAGGATCTGTCAGCTCACCTGTCTCCATGTTGTTTCAAAATATCCCGAGTAAGGAAACTCTAAGGTGCTTCATTGTTTGAAAGTCTGGTTTCCAGAGAACTATCCTGGCTGTCCATCCTCCCTCTTCTCCTCATGCCTGTCTGGCCATTTCCCCTCTGGTTCTACTCATCTTTCTTGGTTCTTAAATTTTGGAACAGAAATCCATACCCCTTAAACTTCCTTCTTTATCAATTAACACTGATTAATAAGTCCGATTTCTTTGTCTCTGTCTCTACCATATTGCTATCATTGCCTCAGATTCCTATTCAATATGATGAGGGCAGGCTCCAGATCCTAGCAGAGATGACAATTTTCAGGGAAATATCTGAATTTTTTTCTGTTTAAAACTTCTATCAGGAAACTATAGCCTCCTGTGGCAATTATTTTGCTACTCTTCCTTCTAAGCAGCTGAAATCCACTGCTTCTATTAAGTGTTTTGAATGTCTACAGGAGTATAGATATGTGTATTTATTTTTCCTAAATGGTTGTTTGATGACTATAAGGAATAGAGTTTCCCATATTCCTGTGACTATCTGCACTAGTCCTTTCCTCCGGCTCCATGGAACATTTAAAAGTCCTCCTTCCCCTTGTTTTTGTGCTTGCACTACTTCCAAGACCCTTCTCAGTGTTTCTTATGACCACGGCTCCTTTATTTCCATGCCCAGCCCTTTAAGTGGAGCCCTTGTTTCTCATCTGGACCTGAACCATCTTCTAGGTGTTCCGTGATTATCAAGTCCTGAGCTGCTTAGGCTAGAGATTCAGAATTAACTGTTCTGGGTAGGGCTGTAGCATCAGTATTTTCTAAAGCTGCCCCCCAAAAACAATTGTGGGGTACAGTCCAGGAACCACCACTCTAACCCATCCTGCACTTAACATTCTGCTAGGAAATTTTTCAAATGCCAGTTGCATTATGTCCTATATGCAAAGCCAAGTCCCTGAGGCTAACTTTCAAGGTCTCTCAATTCTACTCCAATCTAATCTCCTGCCATAATTGACTTGGTCCCTCCTTTCCTGCAAAGTTAATTTCCTCGTGTTCTTTTTTTTTTTTACAAATATTTTTTAAGATTTTAAAATTTTATTTATTTATCTTTAGAGGGTAAGGGAAGGAGAAAGGGAGAGAAATATCAATGTATGGTTGCTTCTTGTGCATGCCCTGCTGGGAACTGGCCTGCAACCCAGGCATGTGCCGACTGGGAATCGAACCACGATCCTTTGGTTCTCAGGCTCATGCTCAATCCACTGAGCTACACCAGCCAGGGCTCCTCATGTTCTTTATATCTAAAGAAAATATACTCCCCTGAACTGCCCCCACCACCACCACACACACACACATACTCACTCATGATCTTCCAAAAGACTTTTGTGGCATATATATAGACATGAGCCTGAGATGTATACAACATCCGTACTGAAATATTGGACCCTGGAAACGTCTGAGTCTTATACAAACAGTGACATACACTGAGTCATTCCCCTGTCCCCAAAGCCAGAAAGTTTGCTCATTCAATAGCTTGACTGTTTTTTTCAGAAAGACATGGAAGTAAATATTTATAGTACACAACTAAGTTTGCTGAAAAAACATCTTTGGGCCAGATGACATGAAGAGCAGCCTGCCCATCGCCAGCTTGAAACTAAAGGAAAGCAAAACCTACTCATGCTCTTAGCACAGTCAGTGACTGGTATTTTCCCTTCTGATCAGTTACACCAGTTCTGCTGCCTGATGACCCTGATGACGGAGTCTCTCCTGATGGGTGGAGTGACCAGGGGTGGATTCCTACTTCACCAACCTTTTCCCAGAAAGGGAGATGTTTAAACTTCTCATGAAAAATGACAGAAAACTAAAACTGAAACAAACAACTACATTTCTTTTTAGAAATCTGGCATGTAATTATGGTCAAATAAACCCAGTTTTTCAGGGGCTTTTTTTTTCATGGCCTCAGGAATGGGAATTTCTAGTGATAATATCCAACTGAACCACAGAGCAAATATGCTCTGCCTCAGTCTATCCCAACCTGATGTTGTTCTTGTTGTTTCTCTCTCTCTTTAATTTATAAGAAAAAGAAACAGCAAAGAGGGGACTCAGTAACTGTGGCTCTCCATGATGTTTACATACTTTATAATATTTTTCCTCAGCTCAGGGTACATATTTAATCCAGTAAGACCTTCTTGGTTTATGGGCCTTTTCCTCCTTGTGAACTAGGGTTGATGGGAATATTCCTGAGTCAAATTACATACACAGAATGGAGTTTTTAACAAGCAATGGACTGAGGGTCAGGAGAACTGGTTTCTTAGTCCTTCAACTCCATTTATCAAAGTGCTTTCATGCTCCATGGCAATCCAGTATGTGGGGGTGGCACCAGATCTCCATTGAGTAGGTGTGAAAACTGGGGGCCAGGCACTACTGGTGATTCACTGAAGGTACCATGAGGCTGTAAGTGCAAGTTAGCGGGACTGATGCATGGTTTCACCTGAAGGGTTCACATCATGGGGGTCTCTTCAATTCCTCATAAATGGAGAGTCTGGGGTCATCGTGATCCTAGCAGCAGTGTCAGAGAATATCATCCAATACTAAGGGCTACAATCCTACTCTGTATAACACACTGAAGTTATTACTTTTTTTTCTTTTAATGCTCAAATTACTTGCAGGTGTGTTACTTGGCTTCACAACTAACAGCTCTACAAGAGAGCGTTTAACTCTCTTAAAACCAGTGAATGTATCCTATCTACCTTCATCTGTATTTTTCTAATAACACTCCGAAGTAAATAAGCATCAGAATAGGTGTTCAATAAAAGCTCATTAAATTCCAGACCATTCTTTAATCACAGTTAAATGACAATTTATGCTTATGGGAGGAAAAACTTCGATATAATATTATTGCAATGACAGTAACATTAGATCCTTAGATTTAAACTGAATGGTCTTGTCCCTTATTTATGATGTGGTATTTGAAAAAAATGTCATATTTAAAAAGTGGTACTAGTTTCGCTTTTGTCACTAATATGACTTTGGGAAAGTCACTTCTTCCAGACTTTAGCTAGCACAAAAGTAAAAGGGATTGGTTGTAACTTCTGTGATTTCTTACATTTACGACATCATAGGCCTCAGACCACATTCAAACAGGAAAGAGTGTTGACAAAGTTAACTGAGGAACAATTACATTATAGGTTGAACTGTAAGTAGAATTAAGAAACACATACATTCTTTCTCAACAGTTTCTTCCACTTTCCTGTAAATATCTAGTTTCTCCTACCAGCCCTGAAAGCACTCAAGGTCCTTTGTGATTTCTTTGCTGTCCCGCTAGCTAGCCAAGATAAACTGATTTGCCTATATAACTTATCTCTAAGTTCTGTCTTTTTTTTATATAACTATAACTACTAGATTTTATGATGTTTACTAAACTGACAATCTATTACAAAAAAAAAAAAAACCCTGACATGAAAACATTCCATTTGGACTCTCCTCTGCTGTAGCTATTGCTTCTCTTTTGTTGATAAATATGCATTGCATATTTGTAGCATTTTTCCTACATCCACAACTTGGTATTTGTGTTGCATTCTCTTAATCACTACATCAAACAAACAAACAAACAAACAAACCAGCATCTCAATAAACTTATTCTGACCTGATCAAAGGCTCCATGCTTACCAGAGGATTTGGAAGAAGAAACCCATAATCTTCAGAAATGTGAAATCTTCCTAAAGATAACAACAGTGTTGTCTTTAAATTCTGACTTTGACGTTCCATAATTTTGTTTGAAGTATCTGTACTGCAGCTGCTACTTGAAGAGACAACTGCCCCCTGCTCCAAATATGTCAAAGACCCAGGTGAAGGGAACTTCAGAATAGCATTTTTGCATTTCAGTTGTTTGAGCAGTACTGTTGCAGCAGGAGAGAACCTTGGCCAGAGGTTGAATTCCAGACTGCCATGAGCTTTCTTGGACACCAGGCTGAGTAAACAACTAGACTGCTTATTAAAATAAGCAGGCAAAAAAAAAACACCTCAGAAAAAAAATCTCAGTGTTTTTCATAGATGTGTAATATGAGATGATAGGTTTTAGGCCCAGAGACAAATTGGTTATGGCTCATCGCAAAACCCCTGATAGGATCCATAATGAACCTTAGCAATTGGGTCTTCATCCAAAAGGAAAAAACTATTTAAACCAGAAATTAGTGACACATGGATAGATATTTCAGTGACTGGTAGTGAGTAAAGTGGGAAGGAGGACTCGATGCGTATCAGAACCTCAGGAGTGTTTTATATGTAGTTTGAACAATATATTCTAAGATTATAATTGCTTTGACTTACTTTACAATATTTTATAATTTTAAAAGTCTTTGAGCCCATTAAAGAAGACTATATATATTGTTAAGCTTAACAAGACAAGTAGTAGATACTAACAACCTTGAGAAGAGCCTGAACAGATTATTTGATTTAATCCTCGACTTTTATCAAAAATATCTTTTGACTTGAAAAATAACTAAATAAAATTAAAAAAAATATCTTTTGAGAATCTGTCACTAAAATGAGAGATTTTGCTTATGAAGTAGATACTACCAGATCCATTTTACAGACTCCAAAACCAAGGCACACCCATGTGAAAAATCCTGTTCATCTTCATGCCACTAATTAATAACAGAGCGAAGACCACAGTTAAGGTATCCTGATTTCCAAGCCACCGCTCTGTTCACTAAATCAGGCTGCCAGGTCGACTCTCAGAGGGGCCATCACAGTTTGAATTCTCTTTAATATGGAGCAGTAAACTCCAGGCTATGGATCTGCCCTGGGAGAATTCTGAAGACTCTGCCTTTTGTCCAATGGTCCATACACCTAGCTTGTCACAAGCTTGTAAACAAATTTATGTGGAAGCTAATTTATCTATCCACGGCTTCTCTCACCTCCCATTCTATAAATTTGATATAAAAGCTAAGAGAAGGAGGTGCTCTGATAATTCATTTAACAGTTCCCATGGAGGGTTAAGTTTTGTAGGTTGCATGTCAAAAATAGCCTAATTGGTTCATGGTTCATCAAAAAACCCCTCACAGACATCCTCAATTATGTACTTCCATTCAGCCCAATATCCAACCAGTCTCCACGTTCAGTTTCTTATGCCTACTGAATGCAATTTCTCAAACTTCATCTGTTTAATCATCTTCTTTCCTGCAATCTCGGATTGAAAGATGACTTAGTTTTGTTTGTGCTAGTCATTATTTTTCATCTACTTTTCTACACCCTCTCAAAAAATTACTGTAACATTGTAAAAGCATAGAATCAGAAGTGATTCTAAAAGCATAAATTATCAGAAGTGAAAGGAGAATGATAGAATAAATTATCTACTTCAACATCCTCATTAAATATATGAAAAATTTGAGATTTATGGGAGTGAAATGACTTACCAGTCCTGGGATTTCACATCAGAATTGGACTAGAATTCTAACTTGCTGCCTCTGAGCCCAGAACTTTCTCACTGTAAGTAAGCCAGGCCAATTTACATAAGATTCTCCACTCTATTACCTATTAGCAACTTGGCTTTTTAACAAGTGGGAAACAAAAAGTGAGAATTTCAGTACTAAACCTCTTTCTACTTCTGTAGGAATTTATCCAAGATATTTTGTGATGTTCTTTCCCCCATTCTATAAATCCTTTTTTAAAATATAAATATATTTTATATTGATTATGCTTTTACAGTTGTCCCATTCCCCCCCCTTCATTCCCCTCTACCCTGAACACCCCCTCCCACCTACCTCCCCCCCTTTAGTTCATGTCCATGTGTCATAAGTTCTTTAGCTTCTACATTTCCCACATTACTCTTGCCCTCCCCCTATTTTCTCCCCACAGTCTTGCTATTTATTCTCTGTACCTTCTCCCCCGCTCTCCTCTTCCAACTCCCCTGTTGCTAACCTTCCATGTGATCACCATTTCTGTGGCTTTGCTCCTGTTTTAGGAGTCCACTTAGTTTGCTTTTGTTTTAGGTGTGGTTGTTAATAACTGTGAATTTGCTATCCATTTATTGTTCATATTTTTTATCTTTTTTTTCTTAGCTAAGTCCCTTTAACATTTCGTATAGTAAGGGCTTGGTGATGATGAATTCCTTGAACTTGACCTTATCTGAGAAGCACTTTATCTGCCCTTCCATTCTAAATGAAAGCTTTGCTGGATAGAGCAATCTTGGATGTAAGTCCTTGCCTTTCATAACTTGGAATACTTCTTTCTAGCCCCTTCTTGCCTGTAAGGTCTCTTTTGAGAAATCAGCTGACAGTCTGATGGGAATTCCTCTGTAGGTGACTGTCCCCTTATCTCTTGCTGCTTCTAGGATTCTCTCCTTCATTTTAATCTTGGTTAATGTAATTATGATGTGCCTTGGTGTGTTCCTTCTTGGGTCCAACTTCTTTGGGACTCTCTGAGCTTCCTGGACTTTCTGGAAGTCTATTTTCTTAGCCAGATTGGGGAAATTCTCCTTTATTATTTGTTCAAATAAGGTTTCCACTTATTGCTGTTCCTCTTCCCCTTCTGCTACCCCTATAACCTGGGTGTCGGAATGTTTAAAGATGTCCTGGAGATTTTTTGGGGAAAACAAACTCTCCTCATTTTTTTCAATTCTTGTTTCTTTATTCTTTTCTATTTGGTTGTTTCTTTTTTCTTTCTGGTCCACTTCATTGAGTCCCAGTTTTCTTTCCATCACTATTGGATCCCTGTGCATTTTGCTTCATTTCACTTAGTGTAGCCTTCATTTTCCATCTAATTTGCTACCAAAATCAACCAGTTCTGTGAGCAACCTGATCACCAGTGTTTTGAACTATGCACCTGATAGGTTGGCTATCTCTTGGTTGCTTAAAATTATTGGCTCTGGGGTTTTGATTTGTTCTGCTGACTGAGCCATTTTTGGTCAGGTCATGCCTGTTACGTATGAGGGGCGGAGCCTTAGGTGTTCATCAGTGCAGGGCAACCCAGTTGCTGGGTTGTGATGCTGTATGTGGGGGCAGGGTCAGAGGGAGCAATGGTGCTGGTTCCACACTCTCTTGGATTTCAGTCCCCTCTGCTGCTTCCCACAAGCTGGCACCTTTTCAATCCGTGCTTTTAGGCTTTATTTCCCATCACTGGGGCCCTGAGTTGCACAGTTTGTCTCATTGCCCATTTTTTGCCTGGTTTATCTGCATGCAAATATGTGTCCGCAGTCAGCCAACTGCCTTGTGAGCCTTACTGGGTTTGCTCATTTCCTCCCTGGTCCTGTGTTTGCCAACCACTGCCTTTTCCTGACACGACCCCTCTCCACTGGCTGCCATTGCCACTCCTCTTACCAGTCTGGATGAATGGTTTGTTGTTGTCAGACTTCAGTACAGTTCAATTTTCTGTCTGTTGTGGTTGTGTTTTTGTTTCTAAATCTTTGTTGTTCTTAAATTTGGTTGTGTGAGGAAACACAGCGTTTACACCTATGCCTCCTATAAATCCTTTTTTAATATCATGTTTTCCTAGTTTTCTCTCCTACCATTCTGACTTTATCTTTTCTGTTTCAATTACTATACCCTATTTTTCTATTTCAGCCCTGAATATATAAATATTTGCAGTATTATTATAACTGTCTCTCTGCCCCAGTGGTCTTATGTGTTTTTGTTGATCATAACCATCAGTTCTGTGCCCAGGTCCCCAAGTCTGTGTATTCAGTCTTGATATTCATTGTTCCCCAGATTTAGGTCCATGGTACTTGTGGGTCAATTGTATATCTCGGGTTCTGCCATACAACCTTTGAAGAACTCCTCACTGTAAATTAAATAAAATTCAAATTTCCTTTGCCTGGCATTTAAAGATGTCTATCACCTGGCCCCCAAGCACCTTCCTAGCTGTGCAAAATTCTACAATCACCTTGGACTTTCTTTACATCAGATTTCAAGTTCTACCTGGTTTGATTGTTACTAATATATTTCTCTCATTTTGTCTGTTATTGTAAGCTCCTTATAGAACCCACATCCACTGAGTTTTGTATCTTTCAGTACGTGGAGCTCAGTAAATGTTTGTTAAATGAATAATTGGTCAGAGTTTTATTGTGGGCCCTACATTTTTAGAACTGGGGTCTTAATGCCAGACAGAGGTTTGTGCTGGTCTCTGTGGTCCACTTTAAGCACAACCCCTGCAACAAGGACTACAGTGACCATACCCGCTATGAAGCTCTGCTTTGCATCTTATTTACCAAGAGGAAGTAGTTCAAACTTAATTTTGTTCATGAACTTCCTCTCAGTGGTAACAGTTGGAATTCCATAGTCTTGTGTTCTATAATCAGCTTTCCCATGAGTCACCCTAGTATCAGTACACGACAAGGGTTCTGTTTCTCCTAAACTGGGTACTAGGGCTTTTTGGAAATGAACCAAAAAGTATTCAGAAAAGGATCAAAATAAGATACTGCATCAGATATACGTAGTTTTAGTTTCAAATTGATGAAATCCAAAGGCTGAATTATCAAAAACAATCAGCCCAAAGAGTACTGGTACACTGAGACTGTTCCCACCCAGCTTATCAAATGCTTCTTTGTTCATAAATTCAATAGGACTTTCTAGTCATTTCCTTGATTAACTATTCAGGCATCTGGATTTCGGCCTACTTCTCCTTTTAAAAAAAAAAAAAACCACACACACACACACACACACACACACACACACACACAAAACACTCTTCTCTTTTCAAGTTCTCCCATGACATGTATTCCTTCTTGTTAAATTGTGCTTAAAATAGTAAAAAAAAAAAAAAAACCTAATAACTAATCACTGATTTTTCTTCTGTGCTAAATCTATGGTAAGCATCTCCTATGGAATGTCTCGTTTAATTCTCACAGTAGCCCCACGAGTTAGGTACTATTACTATTCCCATAATTGATTTGAGGGAACTACAGCTTGGAAAAGTTAAATAAAAGCCCAAGGT